TAGGTAGTTGTAATTACTTAATCCCTTGTTTTTAGATTCATTAGAAATCTAAACAATATTTGTCTAAGTTTGGGTGTACCATAAACCTCTGCCTACTCTTCGGGAATATAGGAGTGATGCTATGTTTTGTAAAAAGTTTGTATTTCTCAACTCAAAGACTAAATAATTTCGTTTCACATGCAAAATTAAATAAAAATATTTTGATGACTTTAAAAAAACGGCATTTATTTATCCGTTATCTGGAGTATGCCAAAAAATTATAAATAATTAGCACTATAACCACCTGTAAGGATATTACGGTTTTCCTTGCCGTTTAAAAGATAATTCGATTTTTCATACAAGTTTCATACAAATTTTTCGAAAAAAAATTATAACTCCTTCGTTTTTGAACATAATCAACTCGGGTATCATATTTGTACACAGTAATAACTAAAAGAAACAATATTCTGCAAAAAAACTGACACGTGCAAATTGAAATCCCTAAGTCTATGAAAGCCGATTTTCAGCCCACCGTGTGTCGCCATGGACTCGCATAAAAAACGAGCTATCGCGTTATACGTACTTCATCGAAGAATTTAAAGAACAAGGCCTAAAAGATTCTGGGTGCTTCCTCTGATTCAGGAAAGAAATCGTTACGGATTATTCGTTGTTCTTATTAATGAGTTAAAAAACATGAAGACAAATTCTTTAATTTTTTTCGGATGTCCGTATCTACTTATTCAGAACTTTTAAGAAAAATGGTAACTGGTAGGTAATTAATTGATCGACTTCAACATTCATAAGTTGAGAAATTGACACGCGCTGCCAAATCGAAAATCAATCATAAAATGGCGTGGGAAGGAAAGACCCAATCCGCGCGCGTGTACCGCGTCACCCGCGAACCGACCGCAGAGTGCGCGGGCGATACCCGCCAAGCGCACGGGCGACCGCGTCCTGCGCGGTTTGGGGCCGCCGCGAGCAACCGTCACCGCTGCGAGCGTAAAACGCGTCGGGAAATGTGCTACTAACTTTTGCATACATTTCCACATTCTTCGGCGGCCGCGGTCCCGCAACCGCGGCGGGCGCGGGTGAAAACCGCTCCATGAGTTCTTAGCCTAAGGGCGCGTTCCCACTATGTCGTCACGTTTTATTATCGTGGGACGACTGTCGTGTCTAGTCTGTTCCCATATCACGACTAACTGTCGTGGAAGATTTTTTATCGTTGAACGACTGTCGTGACTAGCTGTTCCCACTAGATCGTGACGACAATTTATCGTTTCACAACAGGCTCCTTGTCGTTTGCATGACAGAATCGTTTGATGCACTGCAGTCGCTTGTATGTTCTTTTGGAAGCCGGTAGTGTGTGTTCGCTCGAAATGGATGAAGAAGAAATTTTAATAATGTATTACTTTTTTAAAATGCGGAAGAGGAAGGAAACAAAGAAAAGAAAGTTTTGCATACATCCAATGCTACTAAAAAGAATTCCATTAGGGTTATGTCAAACGGTATACGAAGTTGCTTTCTTTTCGGTATTGTCAAAACCTGGTGGTCTACTCTCGATCTCCGTCCGAAACAATTACTGAAAAGACGCTTGATGCGAATGAAGCTTCATACTTATTTGACAGTAATTGGTTCGGACGGATGTCGGACGGAGATCGAGAGTAGACTGCTACGACCAGAGATGGGAGGTGGGTTAAAACCCGATCAACCCGCCCGTGTTTTAACCAGGGTTTTACCCGAAGCGCCGAGTTTTAACCCATTTCTGCCCAAAATCGTGGGCAGAAACGAAGAGTACAGAATTTGGTATATTAATCCTAACACTTAACAACATAATATACAATAACTTGTAACAAATTTCTATATTCTTATTACATGAAGAAGAGGCATCTCCACACAAAACCCACCACCTGTCAATACTGTGGATTCTCAATGAAGATCGATTCAAGTACATACGATCTAACGATTTTTTATATCAATTTATAGATGAACTTTTCAATAGAAATTATTCAATAGAAAGGAAAATCGAACTGTCCTGTTAATAAAGCAACAAATATTTTGTAATAATATGTATAATTAAATTTGAACAAAACTCAATTCACAACAAATATTTAGACGTAAATAGTTTTTGCCCTCGATTTCTGGTTTCAACCCGATTTAAACCAAAGCAAAGCGCCGAGTTAAAACCCGGGCGCTTGCCCATCTCTGGCTACGACCCAACGCTACTGCAAAGCGAGCAGAGGGCGCGGGGTACGAGAGGGGAGGTCAGGGAGCAAAATACATGCGGACAGCGATAAATAAAACGTGACGACAATAGGAGCTGCGACAATCTGTCGTCACGTTTTTATCGTGACTTTTTATCGTCTGACGATTGTCGTTCAAGCTTTTCCCACTGTGACGTTACAAAATCGTGAACGACAGTTAATCGTGTCATGCTATATGTGAACCACTTCATTTAAATATACAAGCCACGACACTGTAAACTGCACGACAATCTGTCGTCACGACATAGTGGGAACGCGCCCTTAGCCGGAAAATTGTTTTGTAGCCATATTATAGTTTGTACGTTACACATATGACATTGATTTGTTCATTGTCGCACCCCGCACGGAAGAATGGCATAAGTGGAGTTACGTCAAAAATGTTTATTGCACCATTAGATACTGAAAAATATAACCCACATGCGCGCATCCGCGGATGTGGGTTATTTTTTTCGTGCGATGTTAACTTTCTGAACCGCGGCAATGTAAATTAAGCCTAAAGCGCAGACCACACCGCGAACGAAGCTAGCTAACTTGGCTTAGCTCACGTAGTTGCTTGTAAAGTTAGCTTACGCAACTACGTGCGCTAAGCTAAGTTAGCTAGCTTCGTTCGTGGTGTGGGTGGGCCTCTCTTGGCTCGGACCGCTACTGGCCTGAAAAACAAAAACAGCAATAGAAAATCAAAGAATTAAATCATTAATAATTTGTTTAATAACACTTATTAAAACGTACTACTTTTACTATGTTATATAAAATGTCGACTGTAAGAAGTTTGTATCTTTATATTTTGCATACGCATTCAAATTTGGTTTCTACTGACTGATAATGAAAATTGTCATGGTATTTACCATAGCAATCCACGTTAAGCTTATAGTTTACAAACATGAGATCATTAATGTAATGATATTTAATTCAAGACAACTAATTGCAATCTTTCTGAGAAATCACTTCACATACAAATAATACATATTACTTTGCCTTATACACATAAAAATAACTCCAATAATCTCACTTAAGTATATACATATCTAGATTTTTAAACTTAAAAATAATCATAATATGACATATTTTTAAAGCAATAATTTTTAAAACCAATTTGTATATTTATTTACAAAAGCAATACAAGTGAAAGACCCCGCAATGGTTTTGTAACATAAATAATATGATCACGTTTATTATTAAGTTCAACTTTAATTATTTTTCAATGTATCCATAGTCGGATTTTGCACCCGTATAGACATTTAATGTTATACTACTTTATAAAAACATCAGGCAAATTGACTGACAACCAATCTTTTAAACAATGAGTGCGGTGACCTTTCGGAGCACAGCATTCATTTGACTATAACTGCAACACAGATAAAAATAAGTAAAAAAAGGATGTAAACTTAATTCGGTGGTTGATCTTACGTTTTAATTAACCTTTTTTATTCCTTTTTAATTTTTCTTTTCTTTCAAGCTATGTATCACTCACAGACAAATTCAATTAAATGAAAGTATTAATATAGAAGGCGTGCTGATACGATTTTAGACGAGTACAGCACATTATGCGCAATGTACATACATGTGCAGGATGCTTTTTAAAATACTAACAACCTCCCAGCCCAGGACTATATTACTAACGTCATAAACAACAACTATTGTTCCATGCTTTTAATAATTCATTAGAATTTACTTACATGCAAAATTAAATAGATCGATCTAAACGGTAATAACTCTGTGCAGGACGGGAGTGGGAGTCGCCGCGGAGGACGCTTGCATGTTTGAACTTATCTACCAAATACAGATCCAAAAAGTGTCAGATAGTACAATAATAATTTACAACATTATTTTTGGTAAATGTATTATGTTTTGTAAAAAATCATAGACCAAAAGTTGTTGTTAATGATGTTAGTAATATAGTCCTGCGAGGTTGTTAGCATTTTAAAAATAACTCTGTATACATTCGATGATAATATGCCGTTGACTGTACTTAGGCCTGTTTTATAGAACCTTAATCAAGCACCACTACCTTTAACAAGTCAATATATACAACCAGCATATTCTGCCGACTAAGGACAGTTTTCAGTCTAGACCATGGTTGTCTGTTTATTTGTTTTTTGTTCCTATTGTCTAACACCTAATTGTTTAAGAGAATATTTAATAAAATCTAAAGAAGCAAGTAAGTAAAATCGATCCTATCAATCATGGCAATTAATTATCCCAAACGGTTATACACTGTCTAGTCGTAAACAGAAGTTGTATATACTAATGTTTAAATTCATTTTTTTAATCAATATTAGTGCAAATATAGAAATCTATCAAACAATATTGAACAGGCATACTATACGTTTTAAAAAGCTGACAGCAATATTTTTTATATAACGAAAACTTTAGTGTTGGACTCAACCTTAAGTCTCAGTAATCTTTATTCTTACACTCCCGGACACATAATTCGAGCACCTCGTTTTAGCCTTAAAGAGCTAGAATACAAAAATAGTGTTATCATCGAAGTAAAAGGTTTCCCACGGTTTTGTAGTCCAAATTTCCAACATGGACTTTTAGGGTCGTACTCTAGAACTCTACTCAATGCTCACAAATCAGGATTTGAGTATGGTTTAAAGCACTCGAAATCATACTCAAGTCCTCAAATACTCAGATCCTGACTTGAGCATTGAGTAGAGTTCCAGAATACGACCCTTAATATACTAGTTTCAAAATTGCGTAGGATAGTTCTTGATCAATCAAACATTATTTAAGCCTACGGCTCGAATTATGTGTCCGGGAGTGTATAATATTACGGCTCGAATTATGTGTCCGGGAGTGTATAATATTTATCTTTAATCATTTTGCAGGAGGCACTATGTAATTTCAATCCATTTTCAAATTTGTTAGTCCTACCTATCCTATCTTTACAATCTTAATATAAACCATCTCTTCACAAGACAACGCTCAGATACAGCAACTTATTAATAAATTGAGGAGCCTTAAAAAAGTCCATAACAGTCAAGTGCAAAAATATGTGCTCACTCAAAGAATTGTTACAAAAATACGTATTGGATGTGTCTGACGCACACCATGATATAACGGCAATCCTAAGTATATAAGCAAAACTTTTTCAGTTCCGAATTAATAATGATTTATATTGGAAAGTGACGACACATTTCTAGAATACTTCATTACAAACATGTTATTGCAAAGTTCAATAAATTCACATAAATGTACAAAAGTCGTATTCAGGTTACTTGTAATTATGATTATAAAATAGCCAAAACCATATTTTTACTGCATTATGAAGAACATTTTCTATTTGACTAAATACGGAAACTACCCGAATTACACAACATATTTTTCTGTACAAAAAGTGATAAATGTTTTATCAGTTGAAAATAGGACAGTGACTTTGTATTGTAAATACGAAAAGCTAGTTTATTTAACAGGTCAAAAAGCTGACTCGTTAAAAAAGCGGCAAGTTATGCCAACACAGTGGATAGCAGTGGAACATATTATGTATTAAAAACTCTCAATTAAAAAAAGTCAATAACAACAAATTTAGAATTAAATTGAACAATACAAATGAACAACATTTCTTGATGAAATAGAATAAAGTACTATCACACAATAAGTCTTATGCCAACTTAACGCAAGTCTGCATTCACATTTAATTTGTATACTGTAAGAAGAAGGTAATTACAGCGCATACAACTGTTAATATAGAGACCTATTAATATAATAAAGAACCAGGCATCAAATACTGTTGTTAATGACGGCATTTAGTGACCTTACTGAAAACTCAACTTAATGTTCATTGCCCGCTCAATATATTACATGGAATGGAAGTCCTTCACCAGTCTATGCTGACCAATAAAAACAATCATCACTTAAGTATAAATCCATAAAGGCCTCATTTCCAAAATTTAGGGAAGATATTTTTATTACCCTTTCGTACATTTTATGTACACAAGAAATAACACAAACAACCACAAAACCTATGATATAAAACCAATGTAATTATCAAATTTTTGAGTTGCTACTCATATTTGATTGCTGATAAATATTTACTTTTTGTTTAGTTTACAAAAATAATATGTATATGTAAAAAGAACACTACAATTTTTTGTTACAGTTGAGTTTTGGTATTTAATCTGTGTATTTTTGATACAATTACTAAATGTGTGGAGAGGATATATTGTAAATGCATATTTAGTTAGCACAGTAAATTGTTTTAGAAATTTTGTTTTAATGAGTTTAAAATTACATACTACTTAATACAGATCAATAGGTCTCTGTTAATTGATCTGCACGCACTGGTTTCTGTTCAGAATTACAACATTCATTTCAAAAAAACTATCACATATTTCCATGGGGTAAGCACGACAACATGGACTTTCTTAGGTTGTACCTGTCCTGAATATCACATTAATAAGGTACAAGCTGAAAACTAGAATGGCTATTTCAACACATTTTGTACTTCAGCATTATCATCATCAAATCAGAAGACACTTTTTAAAGCTACTGAACTGTACAAACAGCATGCATACTTCTACTTACATCTATGTTCACTGCGACATTTTAAAAATTGTTTTTAGTCCTGTTGCCTATAAATTCAATCACATAAATATTACATTCAACTTACATAAGTTACACAGTCAGCATCAGAATTACCTTAACATTTAAACTAATCAAAAATATCGTAGCGGTCAACGTCATGTATATGTTCAGAGTGCTCATAATATCTATACATTTAGCATAATAAATAAATCATGACATGTCAATTTCATTAATTTAACTGTGAAGAATTTTAATGCTGACTGTACATAGTTACTTGCAATGCATAGAAAAATGGACGCACATCCATGTTATATTTTCGTTGTCAAGAAGGACAGTACCATTTGATCAGATTGCATTGTTAACGATCCATGCCTAAGAACAATCATATTAACAGATTCAATAAACACTTACACAGTAAGCCTTTATTGTTCATTCATCCAATCCATTAATGTCTATCAATCATCATTTAAATAAACCCACAATTCTTTACATTTAAGAAAATCAGAAACATACTATGCATCCAAGGTATATCATAAGATCAACAACAAGCTCTATTGACTTAGTTGTACAGTTTTGAACTCTGTATCTGAATAAGAATATAACACAGTTGCTTTTTAATGCCTTGTGGCAAGTACATTATATATACTGTGTTTTTATTAATGGCAATTAGAAAATACTAGTCCCTCTACTGGCCAAATAGAAGACTAGAAAAGACTGTAACCCAAGTGACTCACATTGTTGTTGCAGTTACTAGCGGTGCTTGCATGGCTGAACTTCAAGCTGGTGAGAGTCGTGCTGCTTCTTTTCAGGTTTCTTCACCAAATGTGCATTGACAGGATATTTTAATGCAGTCCTCAACTGTTCGTTGTGTTCTTCTAAAGAATTTACGGCGTAATGTAACACAAGCTCGTTCAAAGTTCTGGAAAACAAAAGAATGTATATGTTAGATGTGGTTCGTTGAAAGTGACTCATATTATCCTGTGTTTTGTTATGTTTTTCATAATTCAATAAAATGATTAAAAACATTGTTGTAAAACATAGTGAAAAAGAGAGTAGGTATAAGGAAATATTTACTTGTAAACATTGTAGGGTTCAGCAAACCCATAACCTCGTTCAGTCTTAAAGATGATACAGTGGTAAACCATGTTGTTGCAACAGATAGACAGGGCAAGTTGCCCAGTTGAGTTGGGTCGAATTAAGAAAGTGCCTTGAGGCTTCCCTTCAAGCAACTTCTCAGCCATCTCACGGGTTCCGTTTTCTACTTTCCAGCTGATTGGTTCGCGATGCGCATATAATTCTTCAAGTTTGTGAATGTTGTCATCTTCTAGAGCTTGTAAGTATTCTTCTGTTTTACCGCGTTTTTGTAACAACCTGTAAAAAGGAAAAATAATGTAAATGAATAAACTTGTTGTCATTTAGGTGACAATATTGTGAAAAATATTTCTCAAATTCTGTAATTTTTTTTAAATTTTCAGGCTATAACCCCTAAATTCAATTCATCTGCTCTTCGGCTGGTTATGTGACTGTAGGTTTTCAGGATAAAAAAAGAAACCGAAAGGTGACTAGGGGCCTCGTAAAGAGCTCGAAACGCTGGTTTATTTATTAACAAATATACTTACCCGATGTTAGATGCGAAAAATACATACTTTCGTTTCCAATGTAGGTAGGTAAGTATAAAAATGGCATAAACCTAAGAACTCGATAAAAAATGTTTTCTTACCCGACAGCACTCGCTACTGGGTAAAAAATATCACGGAGTAGTACGTACGATTATTATTACAATTCTGAGCGCACTGGCCACACGGGACTTTAGGTACCGTCTAACTAATGGTTAATGCACATGCACAACGCCAGACAGTCAGTTTGTATGCGGCCCTTGGTGACGACAACCGAATAAAGTGAATATGGGTAAGAAATCCGGTAGCGATAGTTCTTATTATATTATTTTTCAGTTTACTTATGATTGTTTTCCAGTCATTACGACGGCCAAGGGCAGACAAGATCATAGCTCCCTTTTCGTGTTTTAAGAATACTGTATAGTAATATCATATGTCCCAAAGAAGAATAAAGTGGTTTTCTTGGCATCAACTATACATTAGGACGGCAAAAAAGTCTCCGGAGAAGAAAGAAAGCCGGTAATAATAATAGATTATAACAGAACCAAGTGTAGTGTCGCTATTAGGGATGGGCGTTGTGCTAACTACCCAGTGGCACGGGCAACTAGAAGATGACGAATAGCGCGAATAGAGAAAATAATGTCGCTGTGATGGCTAAGTGGAGCCTTGAAAGATTTAGTTTTGAGTTTTGTCATGCGACATATACAAAAGAGAGCATCAGTACCTAATTTGCCGTCATACATAAAAAAAATCAAGTTTATGCTCAACGTCGACTCAAATATGGAAATCACATTGGCAAACACATCTAGATCTCGCCCACTTGTTTCTGCTTTTCGTTGCGCAGTATGGGAGTTGAAGGAAGACCGGAAGATGAAGACAGGCTGTGAATTGTTCTTCAAAAAGATATGCCGATAGCATACGATCCCAATTTGTGGTGATTGATTTGATAGAGTGAAATGTATATGTAGTACATTTAAGTCTATTTTTGATACTAGTCTCAATTTTGCATGTTCCTAATAAAACTTTTGTTCTTTCTTATAGAAGTATACATTATTTTTTCTATTTTCATTAGTTTTCTATGATAATCTATATTTTTTAATAAATACTCATTACTAGTTGTGTTTGCAATTTTATTGATTAAGAATAACATCAACAAAACTATTATATCTGTACAGATTGAAGAATCGATTATATTTTCTTAGATAATGCCATTAAATTCTGTGGTAATTTACTCGGGAGCGAGTAATCGTGTCTGTAAATACCTAGCGGGTGCTGGCGGTTAAATCTAAAAATTAAATATGTAGTGTTGTAAAATAAACAACATTCATACATTGATTTATTATTGCATAAAAATGTCCATTTTCTAATTAACTATGTCAAGTTTAATTAATACTCACACTTTATAACAATCTTTCTTTTTGTACAGATTTATAATTTCTGATTTGAGCTTCGTTATTTCTCTTTCAAGTAACAAATTTGAATCAACTGTCTCCCGCAGTATGCTGTGTAATTGTGTTCTAGCTTGTTTTAGACTGTTCACTCTCAAAATTAGTTCCCTATGGTTTGCCATTATATCATTCTTTTCGTGAGGTTGTGTTTCAGATTGCAATTTTTCTTGTAGCTTAAGATGGTCTTCACAAACTTTGACTGTTTCTTTGAAAGCATCGAGTGCTTGCCTTTTAAATTTAACTTCCTCTCTCAACCTCATGTACCTATCAGACCGTTCATCGTAATCTCTAGTTTTCAGTACAAATTTCTTGTGAACTTCCTTGTAAAGTGTTTCAAGAGTTTCATCATTAATGTTCTCTCCTATGTCACTTTCTTGATGGCGCGACAGTGGGTACATAAGTTTGATATCCAGACTGCTGTTACAATGTGCCAATGAGTACTCTTTGTAGAACCTGACCAATTCCACCACAGAGTTAAATTCATAAGGCTCACAAAATCCGTAGCGTGCATCTTGGTTGTATATTTTTATCAATTTATTTGTGCCTCCTTTTCTTACGGTTAATGTGTAGCCACTATCTTTGTTTGATGCATTGCGGACTAGAAATGTACCATCACAAGTATCGCGTAATTTTTCATTAGCCTCGTCTCTGAAAATAAAAAATATTTAAAAAAGTGATTATTGGTGCATATTTTTTTAAAATAGTCTAATACACATATCAATCACTTAAATAAGCCCTAAGTATTTCAATTAATAACCAAAGGGAACAAAATTAGATTAGACATGTTGTGTTTGCCATTTTATGTTTAGACATTATTGATAAGTTGCCCATTAATAAAGTAATAAACCAAACAACATTTTTATTTCAAGTATAATACCCTGTGTATTTGTTTGTTTGTGTATTGACAAAAACATCACTATCCATTTTTTCCTGTGCATAATATTCATTAATACAATACATTAGTGAAATAAAATCCCCAATACACATTTTTCATTACGATTTTTCTACGTAAAAATCAACGAAAATAATTGGACATCCAATATCTTCTAAACAAAGGAGTGACTAAATTTTAAATTTCGCGACTAGAACCGACTATTTCACGATTTTTTCTGGGTGAAATCAGACCTAAGCTAGGAGCTGTGGTTCTCGACATTCAAAAATGTTGACGCCTTGCCGCCTTATAAGTTTATTCCGGCGGGGACAGTAGAACACCTTAATAACTTCAAAACGGCGTAACTTAGAAGTTAGAACTCTGCGGAATCTAGATGTGAATAACGCTAGCGAGCCAGATGGAATTCCAGCACTAGTCCTACGTAACTGTGCGGCTGAGTTGTCTCCTGTTCTCACACGCCTACGCCTGTACCGCCTTTCACTTGAGACTGGTGTAGTTCCCAGGTCGTGGAAGCTTGCAAACGTACAACCTGTGCCGAAAAAGGGAAGCAGAGCTGATTTTGTCAACTATAGACCTATCGCAGTCACTTCCATACTCTGCAAGACTATGGAACGTGTACTCAACAACCGTCTCCTGTCGTACCTTGAAGATATCGACCTCCTCAACTTCAACTTCAACTTTTGTGTCTATGGCTCCGTCGTTTTGCGCGACGATTTTGCCAATGTCAGGGTTGAGAGACATGTGTAGCGGTAGTGAGACAGATTGCCGGTTATTAAAATACTTCGGCGGTTTTTATTCACAATGACGGTTATATATATATTTTAATGACATTACAAAAATATAATTTGAGAGCTCATGTTATTTTCTCCAGTACGGATTCCGACGGAAAGCAATCAACTGGGGATCTTCTTGTGTATGCCTCGCATATGGAGCGAGGCTATAGAAAATTAAGGTGAAGCACTTGCAGTATCTTTGGATATTTCTAAGACTTTTGACAGGGTCTGGCACGCAAGCCTTTTAAGTAAGATTCCCTCTTATGGGCTTCCCACTGACCTTTGCAATTGAATCTCGGATTTCTTGAGCGAACGTTCGATTCGAGTGGTCTTAGAAGGCTACTCTTCCGAACATATGGCGATAGATTCCTCAGGGTTCCATACTGTCTGCAAATACAGTCTTGTCGAGAGTCCATGGTTAGCCGTTTGGATTTGACACTCAAGGCAGTGTACGATTGGAGCGATGCCAATCTTGTCAAATCTAACGCTACCAAAGGCAGCTCCGACTTTTGTGTTATCTCCATACCGATAGCCGACAGTCTCCAGGTACTTGGAATGGACCTGTCGTCCAATTTGTACTTCGGCAGATACATTGAATCCATAGCCAAACATGCAGCAAGGAAGCTTGGGATCCTTTTCAGGGTGAGGCGTTACTTCACACCGGGACAGTTGCGTCAGCTCTACCAAGCACAAGTCCGGTCGTGCATGGAGTACTGCTGCCACCTTTAGGGTGGCTCTGCTACATACCAACTGGCCACTTTGGATTTAGTGTGCCAAGAAGCTTATAGGTGACTCGGAACTAGTGGAGACGAAGCCGCAGAGCCTTGAACACCGCCGTAAAGTTGCCAGCTTATCGGTATTTTACAAGATATATCACGGAGAGTCTGCGATGGAATTACACGAACTAATTCCGCTTTCCCGTATCCATCTCGGGTTCCACCTCTATGTTGTGGATATTACAAAGATTCGCACGAAGCTTCCACATTTATATGGCGAACGGCTATGGAGTGGAATTCCCTGCCTACAGACTGGTTCCCAGAACGTTATAACTTGGGGCTTTTCAATGCGAAAGTGAATAGGCATTATTTAGATATGCATGCTCCATCGTCGACCTCATCGTCACTTTCCATCAGGTGAGATGGAGGTCAAATGTGAACTTACATTTCATAAAAAAAAGTTGTATCTTAGAAAAGTCATTTTCTGGCGTCGCCATTTTCACATACACAATACGGAAGCATGCGCGTGCGTACGATCGGAGCGCCTGATCAAACTGAACGGCGCGTGATTTGTGAACTGAACGTGAACTGAACGTGAACTGAACGTGAACTGAATGTGTAATTTGTGGTTGTCTATGTGTGTGTCCATGGCACCCGCGACACAGGGTTTCCCTAGTGCGGGGCCATGTTGAGTGTGTGCATTATTATAAATTTAAAAAAAACTTAGTACCAAAATACTTACCGGGAAAGTACAACGGCTTAGCCGACAGCCTCTCCAGATCGAAGGTTCATCAAGAGTGGCATATCAGGCCACAAGGACAGTCGATCATTTTCCAGAAGATGGGAACTCCGAAAATCGACATATTCGCCACAAAGAACTCTGCGGTAGTCCCACGATATGTGAACGAAGATCAGAGGGACAACCAAAGCCAATTGACGGATGCTTTCAGCCAGTCGTGGAACTACAGACTGGCATGAATCTTTGCGCCTCCAGCACTAATCCCTCAAGTACCGCATCACCTACATGGCTCCCGCGGACTATATATAATGATAGCACCGAAATGGGAGAAAGCATTTTGGACAACAGAACTGAAGAAACGAACCGTCCAACCACCGTATCAAATCGGGAATCTCAGGGATCATCTAGTGGATCTACAAACAAATCTTTGTCCGCGGGGGATCCAACACCTATCATTGGGAGACTTGGAAAATACGGGCAGGACCGCCGAATTAACAAACTGGAACGCTCACGAACGAACCGTACTGCAGTCGGCATGGAGACCTTCGACTTCGAAGACATATAAACCTGCATGGGAGAGCTGGTTGCAATGGTCCAAAAATAATAACGCCGCTTCCTCGACACCCAAACCGAGTGATGTAGCTATATACCAAATATACCTACACAAAGTCCGCAAACTAGCTGCAAAAACTATTCTAGTTTACAAATCAGCAGTGAGCACATTCACTAGTCCCTCCTCAAATGAGCCCCTCAGCAATCACCCAATAATAAAGAAAACGCTAAAAGCCATAACGTTGGAAAACGCTCCAAGCCACAAGAAGGCAACATGGAACATTGCTGATTTTCTGGATTGGCTCTCTTGAAGAAGCATAGACCAATCTGACTTATTTCAAGTCAGTCAACACGTCGCAACTTTGCTACTCCTCGCTTCCGGAAGACGCGTTCATGACCTAACACTACTTCATATAAGCTACGATAATTACCAGACATCCCCAATAAAATAAAAATAATACTTTGGCCAGGCTTTGGGTCAAAAACTGACAGTGCCAACTACCGACATTCGGGTTGGTGCCTATTAAGCTGCAAGGGCGTGGGGCTGCCAACCCGCGGGGCTCACGAGGACGGCCTCGTCCTCCTCGTAGCAGTCGAGGGCAGCAACGCGACCGGGGCTTCAATCCCCGCTAGATGGCGTGAGGGTGAGGGTTCTCCAAGCAAACCTCCACCATGCCGTGGCTGCAGCGGCTGTGGTGAAGTGTTGCTTCGCGATAGGCAACGTGGATGTCACCCTCATTCAGGAACCCTGGGTTAACCACATAATCATAATGGGACTCAATGCCGCTGGTAAGTTGATTTACAACATCTGTGGAAGTAGACCCAGAGCCTGCAATGTTTATAATAAAAACATTCAACAAACCTTATGCCTGTTCCGGCGTTCTGTACTGATGACTTTGTAGCGGCATATCTCTTTCCCCGGAGTAGCACTCAGGCCAAGATAATCGTATGATTAGCCTATCTACCTGGAGAAAAGAACAATCCCACGGAAGATCTGACACGACTGGCGGAATACGCCCGGAAACACAAAGCAGAACTTCTGGTGGGATGTGATGCCAACGCTCACCACACCGCCTGGGGGAGCTCAGACATCAATAACAGAGGTGAGTTACTATATGACTTTATCCTATCAAATTGCCTGTATCTTAGTAACGAAGGATGTACACCAACTTTTGTTACTAGGTTAAGACAAGAAATTCTGGTTGTTACTTTCTCTACAGCTAGGCTAGCCGGACTTATAACCGGCTGGCATGTTAGTGACGAGACGTCGATGTGTTATGTGTTTATGATCCGATGATCATAAACACATAAAATTTGATCTGGGAGCAGGAAATGTCTGCCACCCCACTACATTTAGGAATCCAAGGGACACGGCCTGGGACGTCTATAGAGACAGATTAGGGCAGTATCTACAAGGGTGTCCTAATTGATCAAAACCACTATCTATCACAGTAAATATACTGAACACTCTCATGGAAAGTAATACAGTGGTACTGCGCTGGGTTCCAGGCCACTCTGACATCGAGGGTAATGAGTCAGCGGATGAACAGGCAAAGGCTGGTGCTAGGGAAACCTTTATTGGACCCGAACCCTTCGTAGGAATAGCACACAGCCTGGCAAAGCTCACTCTGCTAAATGAGAGCACACACCTCTCCCAAAAAGTGTGGCTACGAAACAAGGGTCTTGAGCATTCAAAAGCCCTGATATCTGCATACAGTGCCAAACACTGTAGAAAAGCTCTGTCATTTGTCAGTAATGGCATAAGAATGCTTTCTAGAGCCTTAACAGGGCATTGTGGCTTAAACAAGCACATGTCAAATATTGGGTAGAGAGAAAATAGAGAATGTAGATTCTGCCACATGGAGGATGAAACTCCTGTTCATCTACTCACCCAATGCTACCCCCTGATGGGCGTATGAAGTTCCGTACTGGAAAGGCACATGCCACAACAAGAGGACATTAAATCTGTCGGAGCCAGGAAAGTCCTTCAGTTTTTCAATGCTGTTGGCCTTGGCTCTACACTGTAATTAGTGGTGATCACAATAGATCAGTCAATGGTCAGTGATGAAGGGATGCATATGCCCCGAATGAAGCCACCCTAATAATAATAATGAGCCACAAAGTTACCAACTTATCAAACAAACATGTGTGTGACATTAACATTTCCATAATAATTGAGGTAACATAAGGTATTCAAACTATATCTAATGTACAAAAAATCGTAACATATGACGCCATTATGACACACTGATCTTTAAAAGATGAAAAATATATTATAAGAACCCATTTCCATATTTTGACAGTAGTACAGGTTTTTCACATAAAAAATAGGCAACTCGACATTGAGTTGCGGATATCAACCCATAACACCATACAATGTTATAGCAGTACAAGAGAAAAGTGCACTTTAAGTGTAAAAACATTCAAATATTGGACCACCAGTGATAATAGTTTAGTTCTAATGGCCTTGATGTAGCCGTCTTCATCTTGATTTCTCTGTATTGTTGAATATTAGTACTTATTGTTAGAATTTCACCAAAAATTGGTGTATGTGATGTACATTCTGATCACATTACAATGCAATGAGTAAGTTATGAATGTAAGTGTTGAAATATGGTGCAAGGTTATTGTAGTAGTAAAATATTGAAAAAAAAAAAAAAGGAGTACAGAGTTCATACAACATAATGTTATTGCTAATTGGTATACTCAGAAAAAGTGAGAGGGAATAAAAGTAAATAAATATTTATGCTTTAAATGTTTGTTTCACATTAGTTATACTGTTCCAGAGTAGACAGGTTTGTAATAAAAGGAATAGGTAATTTAACGTTATAGTTACTTGGAACTGTTATGTACCTACAACTTACAGTAAGGCTTTTAATGTGATGTATTAGTGTTATAGCAAGCACAATATTATGTCCACTGCACTTACTCAGCTATAAAATTATGTATAAACGTAGTTGTTGGTGCAATAAGTCTGATTGGACGAAAAATTGATAGAATTGATCACATTTATGAATATAATCAGACATTATTGATCCTAGATTAATATCTGTTAACAGTAAAAGGAATTGACCCAATATTGAAACCGCATTCAATCGCTACAAATAAGAGTTGATAGATAATGACTTACCGAGTGATGTCGCCCCAGTACCATTCGGCGTTTTCGAGACTTTCATCGGCAGCCGGTTGCGGGACCCCAGTTTCAACCATTATCTCATTATAAACCCTAGCTAAATAAAACCAATCAGTTTCTGACTTTTAGACTGAAGATTCAGTAAATGTAGGTAACTTAAAACCGGGGTCTTCGGCCGCGGTCTGTAACTTCCGCCTTGTTGAGGTTACTGAGACAATTACCTACTAAATATCACTTAGTATCCACTAAAACTATTGTTTCTTCTTTGCGACAGTTCAATTAAGATACATCAACATAATGTTTGTAGACGTAAATACACCAGCACTGCAAAAAGAGGTCTTTAAATCACAAAGGAAATGGGCGAGTTTGTTGGTATGTACATAGTATGGCATGAAGTATTAATATGTCATAACTTAGTTATCACTTGAACCTGATTTGAAGATAGTGTAACACGACATAAACTCAAGATAAAAGAAACTATGAGTTCATGAAAAATTCTAATAAAACATAACTTCCTATCACTACCATTCGTCCGCCATTGATAGGGACGATTTGATACAAGTGAATACGAGTAAATACTCGATACTTTTGTTTCGATATCGAGTACTTTTAGTATCGAATCCCTTCTTTCGATTTTTACTGGGTATCGGAAGACAAATACTAGTATCGAATCAAAACGCGCACGCGTAAATGTTAACCTATTTAACTTTAATCCCACTTCCTACGAAAAGATCATCTTTTTCCAAATTATTTTTCTTTCCATTTTCACCGTTTTACAGGAAACAAATGTAAACTGCGAAGTACCAGAGATATAAAAATATATATGTCTATTTATAGTCCCTTTGGATCATTTTTGGATGAATTTTGGACATACATCTCAGCGAATGAGCGAAGTTCACAAAGGGAAATGGCGGGTTCATAAGTAGTTTTGTGGGTTTCTGTATTACAGTTTTTAAATTAATGTTTAGTTTAGGTATTATTAGGACAAATTCACAGAAATACTCGATTATCAAAATCTCAATCGATTAGCAGAATTATCAATTGTATCGATTTAGTTATAATTCTTTGAAAAAGAAAAGACCGTTTATTTATTTAATTGTGCACTGCGTGCTTGTTAAACGTTTATTACTTTTTTGTTATTATGATGCCGCCAAAATCGAAAGTATGGACATATTTTATAATTTTCGAAAAAAGTATGGATATGAGTTAGTATCGATACTTTTGAAGTACTCATATGATTAGTACCGCATGACGAATCGATTACTACTCATTTGAGTATATATCGATACTTTGGTGGTATCGGAACATCCCTAACCGTTGACGAGTTTTTTTTTAATAAAACACTACAAAAACCTCAGTCCGTCTTTCGTCCTCTTTTTCCATCCTTTATTGGTCTATCCACACATATCCGGGCCGTGCTCCATCAGGGGCTCAAAAAATATCGTTGCGTGTATTTTGTATGAACTCGTTCACACATGTCCGTGTCCGGGCCGGGGCCCCCGCAGTTTATACGAACTAGCACGTTCCGGCCACGTCGCGGGCACGGCCCTAACGTGTGTGGATAGTATATTCTTTTATTTTTTTCCATCCTCTAAGATATAAAGGTCCTCCGTCCGTGCCGTACTCTACAAACTCGATCTGTCTAATTTACGAACTCGACTTTAACTCGAAAGAAAAGTTCCAATAGAAATAGAGTGGTGCTGGTGGTTGACAAAATGTTATAAAAAACTTGATGAAAAAGACGTTTAGTACTCCAACAATAGTTTATAGCTAGATGTACATATATTTTGAAAACAACTCTCCTTTTTGTTTCTAAAAATAGAACATTCCCAGTATAACTTTGGGAAGATGTTTATAAAGATTAAATGGAAAAAATTTAAATGGTCACGCTTGACTTGACTGACAGTGAGTATAGAGTGTAGAGTGTAGAGATTAGAAGTGGGTTTTAAACCCAAAACACTTAAAAAAGTTTGCTTATTAAAATAAGCACTTAAGCACGCTTTTTATTCTAAGCGTAAGCGTTGGTCAGTTCTGTATTTAACAATTTAATTTTTTACAACGTGGGCAAGTTTCAAGTCCTACCATTTATATTTCCGAAACAAATTAATTCGTCAATGTGAATAATAATTTTATAAATAGAAATAAAACTGGTATTTTACAAATAAACTTACTTAACATAAAACCTTTAATGGTCTACTGGTCTACTCTTGCTTTTCGCTATCAACACAACATTGCAAGCTTTTTTTTAACATAAAAGCCTATGCGCTTAAACGTTTTTCTAAACGATTTTTTAAGTATCAGGGTCGTATTCCAGAACTCTACTCCATAGACTATTAGATGCTAACGCATCTCTACTCAATGCTTAAGTCAGGATTTGAATATGATTTAAGGCACTCAGGGTCGTATTCTAGAACTCTACTCAATGCTCAAGTCAGGATCGCACTGGAAACACAAGCACTGGAAATATGACCCTAATGGCAGGGACTTGAGTATGATTTTGAGTGCTTTAAACCATACTCAAATCCTGACTTGAGCATTGAGCAGAGTTCTAGAAACGACCCTCAAACTTTAAACTACTCAAATCCTGACTTGAGCATTGGGTAGAGTTCTAGAATACGACCCT